GTCCCAACGCCAAGGGAAGGTGCGTTCGCCTTGAGCCAAGAGGACGTCGCTTCTGTGACGCCGCCGGCAACGGAGTCGGTGCCTGTCGACGAGCCAAGTGATCCCCCGACGACTCCCTTCGAGTTGGAGGAGTTTGTCAACCCCCCGGTTGCACCATCGTTGGTAGCACCGACGCTGTCGACATCGTGCGGTGCCAGCGTTGATCATCCGCTGGCGGCCACCAACGCTGCCACAGAGACGAACATCACGGCCGTTGCGCAGGATGTCGTCTTGGACCGCGACGGATCGTTCGTATTCGTCGCGTCGGCCAACGCCCCGACGATGTCGTCCGAGCCGATGGTCGTGGCCGACGACGACTGCGGCTGCTTTTGTGTGCCCGACAGTGGTTTTGCCGATTTTGCTTCGCCAATCGCAGCGCCGTTGACCGAGTCGGGCACGTCGACGGTACCCGTGCCACCCAGCGACGACATTTTTGGCGATTTTCAGTTTGCACCCGCGCCGTCGTTTGCTGCTTTCGCAACGGCGCCAGCCAACTCGGGGACGGCGGCACCGGACACAGCGTTTTCGAGTCTTCCAGCGCACCCGTCGGATGACATCTTTGCTGATTTTGCCGACTTCACTTCGGCGACGACCGCAGCCAACTGGGCGTCGTTCTCGCCCCCTGCCGCGCCAACGGCCTCGGACGACTTCACATTCTAGCCTTGTCGCCAACGGCCTCGGACGACTACACATTCCAGCCTTGTCGCATAATGTAACAAAGCGTTTTTGCGGTTACCACTGAGCGTTGCGTCGCGAGCGAGCATTATGAGCGTCACCTGGCCGAGCCTCGAGACGCGGACGCCACCAATCGTCGTCGTCGACGTCCACCGCGTCGTACGTCGGTCCATTCATTCAACGCATACTCTCATGTTCGCAGGCGTACTCGGACGTCCCGACGCCCCAAGAGGTCGCCCTCTCCAAGGAGCTTCTTGCGCTACAAGCTGACCGCGACGTCATCGAAGCGCGCTGCCAAAAGGAGATTGTCCAGCTCGAGACACGCCTCCACGAGTACCTCTGACTTTGTCCCAACCTGATGACGATGCAATCTTTATAGAGCAGACCTTCGCGAAAGCGAGCTTCTCCAGCGCCTGCAAGCGACACATCTCGATCATGTTGAGCACGAGCATGCCGCTGTTTTGGCCGAACGCGATGCGTGGAAAGACCGGCTCGAGGCCATGCAAGCAGAAGTCCAAAAGCACAAGATCGCCCAGCGCGCCGAGGATGCGTGGCACCACCGGTACTTGCAGCTGCCAACCGATAGTTCTTATATGCCCTCGTAGGTTTGGTGAGCATATGATCGCGTCGCGGGCAACCACGTCTGGCGCCGACGTCGTCTTTAGCCGCTTTGGACAAACGATCGCGCTTTTGCCAGCGTTTGAAGCGCACAATGTCGTCCGTGCCGGGTCCCTCGCATTTCTCGCCAACATCCTTCGAGAAACTGAGAGCGACATGGTCGTCGGCCCTGTACTTGTTGCCCTCACGCATATTGCAATCGCCCACGACGAGCTGCGCCATGCGATCGTACTGGCACACGCTCTCTCACCGCTTGTCCACCTTCTTGAAACGAGCTCCAATCCTGCTGTGCTCACCGAAGCCGCACGGCTTCTCGCGGCGCTGGCTTCGGCGGCTTCAAACAAGACACCACTGGCAACCAAACCGACCGTCAAAGCCCTCGGATGTCTTCTCTTAGTGCACGAGGCGTCGCCGTCCGTGCTTGCGGCTTCACTGGCGGCACTCGTGAATCTCACCCACAGTGCGCATTTGCTTGTAATTGACATGGCTGCACGGTTTGCGTGTGTCTCGTAGGCGCTGACGTGCTGCGAACGCAGGTCGTGAACGCCAATGTCGTGCCTATTGTGTCGCGTCTCCTTGGAGAAACTACGGACGTCGCCGTCCAGGTCGAAGCAGCAAACGTACTGTGCAACGTAAGCTTCGCGGGAGTCTCTAACCAAACGACCGTGCTAATGGCACAAGGCGACGCCGAGCTGGTATCTCGGCTGCGCGACAGCACCAAAATCGACAATAGCAGCGACCTTGTCCGACGGCTTCAGCGAAGCGCAGCCTTGGCCGTTGCAAACCTGGCATCCACGTCGTCGGCGCAGATTGCGCTTGGCTACTGCGACGTGAGTACGTCGTGTTTGCAGCTGCTTGTCGATGCCAAGCACCCGCCGGTCCTTGAAGCGTGTGGTATTATTGCTTGCTTTTGAACGAAGTCGTAGTCATTATACTCTGCTTGATAGCGCTCGTTGTCGCTGCATTGTGTTACCAGTGCAAGGTCAATAAGGTGCGGCTCGCAGCCCAGAACGGTCTGCACGTGTGTGTTTATGTTCTCGGCGAGCCCCGGCGATTTGGCGCCGATGACGCTGTCCTGACTGCGACGTGCTTGGCAGTAGCGACGCTTGTGCTCACCGACGCCAACGCGAGGACATTTGATGATGTCGACGGCCCCTCAGTGCTCGTCCAGCTGTGTCTCAGAGCGACAACACCAACGCTTCTCGAGGCGAGTGCGATGGCAATCGCAGCGTTGGTACCAACACCCGAGTTCAAGCACAAGCATCTGTCGTGCGGCAAAGTTCTTGCCGTCGAACGGGCCGGCGGCCTCACGGCCCTGGAGCGCGCGGCCCACTCACTCTATGGTAGCGTCAGTGCAGCCGTGCCGTCGTGGCTGCAGACGGCCCTAACGATCTTTCGCGCTTCCTTGGGTAAAGGCGGCAAGATGAAACCTGCTGACAAAGACCGTAGGCGAGATCAAGGCCAGTGTGACGCTCCAGGCAAGCGACGTGGACGTCACGAACCCAAAGTCAGACGAACTTGAGAGCGTTCTGCCCGAAGTGTATCCGCGTTCGTACCTCGGCCGCCAAGTGCTCTCACAGATTCTCCCCGACCCTGTCTGCACCGAGTATTACAGGCCCAAGTCGGCAGCATAGTAGTAATGTTTGTACAATATGCATCTTTATTTCAAGGGTTAGGTGGCAGGCAAGGCGCTGGGCTAACGGATGAGCAGAATCGTGTTAGATAGTTCGAGTAGCTAGACTTCGTCGGCCGTGCGGGGACGCTTCATCGAACTCTCGTCGCAAGCCTTGGGACATATCAATACTCGCGTGCAGACATGTAGTATCCGTACCTCGTCAAGGCCGCGCTTCGTCACGAGTGGGCTTCCTGGCGCCAGCTGGGACGGCAAGATAACCTTGAGCTTCGACGACGCGACGACGCTGTCATAGCAGTACTTGTGGAAGATTGTTTCCTTCGGCGGCGACGTCTGGATCGTGCCGCGCACCGCATTCTGGTACATCCACTCTTCCTCGTCATCGTCCCAGCACTTGGAGAATTGCTCGCTACACACAGCAATGAGCGTCAACGATGCGCCGGATGGAACATACCCGCAGATGCGGCATTTGGTGGTCGCTTCGTCGACAGGCACGCGGGCTTGGTCCAGCACATCCTTGTCGACCTCTACCAAGGTATTCGTGAGCTCTACAAAAACGGATTTTCAAATCGTACCAGCTTCTTGTTGCGCAATGGCAGCAACGCCGTCGACTTCCTTTGTGCTGGAGACGGCGCAAAAATCGGTGGCCCATTGCTACGCACGAATCGTAAGTCGATGCCATTCGAACATGGTCGAGTTGCAACGAAGGCGTACCTCTTCGTCAGGGTACCATGGACGCGAGTTGCCGCCCTTCGTGCGCTCGCGCTGAGCGCGGTTGTATTGGAACAAAAAGTCCATGTGCTCAGAGAGCTATTCACAGCGATAAGAAGGCTAAACAGCGAGAGCAGTGACCAACTGTACCTGCTTCTCGTTAGCAAAGCGGACACCGCTGCCAGCACAGACGAACGGGAGACCCTCGTAAAGAAGGTAGATGTTTGCGTCGATGCGACGCTTGTTGACTTGGATATCGGAGCACTTGAGACCCGACGTGGCCGGCGCGAGCGAGCCTGGCGCTGTGATACCTTGGAGCTTTTGCAAGATCATCATAACTTCGGCAGTCGTCTTTTGGGTGGGTGGCTGCTGGCCGAGTGGTGGCGACCGGGACGGTGCAGGCACAGGTCGTCGGTGCGTTGGTTGATGTTGCTGCGACAGCTGGTGCGCAGCAGAAGGACGCTGTTGGTAAGCGAGTACGTTGCGGGGCGGCGGTTGCTGCGTACGGGGGTTGTTGCCATACCGCGGGTCGCGAGGATCACGAGGGTCACGCAGTTCCGGCATCGGGCGCGTGCGAGGGGAGCGCGGTCGCATCAGTTCGGGCTGCATCGGAGCGTGGCGTTGGGGCGGCGGTTGTTGACGTGGCGGCGAACGCGGCCGGGCAAGCGTGGCTTGCTGAAGTGGGCCTTGGTGTTGCATACTCTTGTGGAAGTCGAGGAGCTGCGCATAATACGCGGGGTTCGACATGCGCACGTCTTCGAGGCTCATGTGCTGCGCGGGGTGGATGCCTTCTTCATTCTGGAGGTTCGTCAAGAGGAGGCGGAGTTGCATGTCGTCGGCGACGGGGCGCGTAGCAGCAGGTCGAGCTGGCGGTGCAGGTCGCGCGGCAAAGCTTGTTGGCTGGTTCGTGGGCTGCGCGACGCGAGTTGCAGAGTCGGTGGCGGCGCGCATTCGGGCGAGGTCGTTCTCCGGGAAGAGGCGGACTTTCTCCCACGTATTCAACACATGAACAAATCGCTTCAAGTCGGTTGGATTCACAACTCTAACGCACTCTACGAAGACAGGCGGAAGGCTGCCGCCGAGAAGCTGCACGTACGGCCCGCCAACGTTTTTCAAGATCGAGTCCATGAGGTACAAGATCGGGAGCTTGAAGGCGGGCACGACACCGTGCAGCTTCGAGACCAAGAAGGTCGCCAGCGGCTTGGCCATCGCCAGGTTCTCCGCAATCATCGTGAGGTTGTTGATGATCGGTTTGGCCGGGTACGCGCCCAGCTTGTTGAGCGTCTCGTCGTACTGGGCCAAGGAGGCCGCGACGCCCACGTTGTCGCCCATGCGTAGCTGTCGTGTGGTTTCCAACTGACCGCTTTCAGTGGTGACCACACTATTTGTCACATCGTATACCATTTGTTATGTTTCGAAATAGTGTACTTTTTCACGACTGGCTTCTTATCCTGGCTATCCCATTGTCCTGCATCTCGCGTCCATGGTTGACGTAGTGAAGCATGATGCGCTGCACTCTTATTATAACATTTTAGGGCTGCCAGCGACTTCCTCCTTAGTCGCAAATGCTGCATAATGCTGTAGGTTTCACAGTCTAAGAGTGTGCAGAACGCGGGGAGTGCTGAAATAGACGCAGGGTTGGGTTTTCCGCAAAGAGAAACGCGCAGAAATTCATGGTGCAAGCGCCGTTGGTGGCAAGTGCCATGACCCAGATCAAGACGCCAAGCCCAGCTCGATGTCATTGAAATATCTATTGGAGCGCTGTATCAGTTTTCTTCGGCACGGGTGTTGCTTCAGTGCTGCAGGAGCGTGCGTCAGCAAGCGGGCGGATGCGACGTTGCACCGATCCCGATCCGTCGAAGGAATCTTTTGCTGCGCGCGCAAGTTCAACGTGCGCCTCGAAATCCGCCCAGATCAGCGCAGAAATGTCTACAGCCCGTCAGGTTCTATGCGAGAGGGGGCTCGTGGGCTTTTCTTCTTTTGCGGAGCGGCGACTGTCTGTCTTAGAGGCTGTCGTAGGACGTTGGTTCGGCAGATGTCTCGCTCGCCGTGATCTAGCGTGTCCCACTGGGATCGGCAAGCATCGCAACCAGCTTAAAATAATATATAGTTATTTGTATGCTGCTTCATTAAAGCAGCCGTGCCGACTGTGATTGGCTGCCTTCTCAAATCCAAAGATCGCTGAACCAAGAACTCAGTTTGCATTTTGCCACGGACAAAGATGGAGTACGAAGGAGCGCGCGTGATTCGCCTGCCGCCATACCAGTACCTGCACGTGCTTGACACCAACTGCAACGTGACGCGCGTGCTCTCGGGGCCGCAGACGTACACACGCCAGGACCACGAGAAGATCGTTAGCGGCCCGAGCCCGATGGTCATCGTGCCGCCGCAGTCGTACGTGGTGATCGAAAACCCAGTGGTGCGGTCCGATGAAGGTACTCGTTTGACGGCAGAGCCTCTATCTCAATAACGGATGTGTCTAGGCACGGTCGTCGTCGATGCATACGGCCAGGCGAAACTTAGTCATGGCGAGCGCGAGATCCGTGTCGCTGTGCAATACCAAGACCCGTTTCCTCTTTACGCGGGCGAAGTCCTCGTCGGCGTTGTGCAAAAACTCACGGTCCTCGACATCAACTCGGCGCTGCGTGTCCGTGCGAACCGGGACTTTGGTGGCCATGCAGCCGGAGATGAATGGCTATTCCTTGGGCCTGCAACGTACATTCCACGCGTCGAAGAAGACGTCGTTGGTTCCATGAAGGCCTCCGTCATTCAGAAGAACCAAGCGCTCAAACTTCGCGCTGCCAAGAAGTGCACTGATTGGCTTGGCTCGACACGCGATGCTGGCGAAGAGTGGCTCGTGCGGCAGCCCGGCACGTACATGCCGCGCGTCGACGAGCTTGTGCTTAACGTTCTCAACGCAACGATCCTCACCGAGAAGACGTCTTTGCATCTTCGGGCGCTTCGAACTTTCACGGACATCTACAAGGTCCAGCGCAAGGCTGGTGAGGAGTGGCTCGTCACGAGCAAGATGGCCGAGACGCATGTCCAAGATGTCCACGAAGAGATTGTGTCGCACGTGCCTATCACAACGCTCTCGAACCGGCAGTACGTTGTCGTCTTGGACCCGATTGTCAACGGCGTGCAGCAGCTGGGCACACGCGAGATTCGTCGCGGTGAGACGAGCTTCTTTCTTCAACCTGGCGAGTTCCTTGAGCACGGCATCATTCAGGACGTATGCATCCTCGGCGACGACGAGGCAGTCTTGCTTCAAGCGAACGAGTCCTTCGTCGACGATGGCGACACGCAGCGCCACGCTGGCAGCAAATGGATGGTGTACGGTCCGTGCGAGTACGTGCCGCGCATCCAAGTCAACGTTCTTGAGACGCGGAAAGCGATTCCTTTGGACAAAAACGAGGGCATCTACGTGCGCGACACCAAGACGGGTAAAGTCCGCGCCGAGACGGGTCAAACGTACATGCTGCAGCCAACGGAAGAGCTTTGGGCCAAGCCACTCCCAGATGAGGTTATTGAGCTCCTCCAACAAGATTCGTACGTCGAAGGCAGCACCGTGGCCGGGCGCGGCCAAAAGGCGCGCGATCCCACGCGCGTCGTGACGTTTGAAGTACCGCACAACGCCGCGATTCAGATTTACGATTACTCGTCGACTCGTTCGCGTATCATGTTTGGACCGACGCTTGTGATGTTGAGCCCCGAAGAGCAGTTCACGGTCATGAAGCTCTCGGGGGACGTGCCCAAGCGTGCCAAAGTCATCTGCACGCTCTGCCTCCAACTCGGACCCGACTTTATGCGCGACCAGGTACACTTCCTCACCATCCAAAACCCATCGTTTATGCGCTGCCAACTAGATCACGGTCGAAACCTCCGATCATGCGCGGCTTCGGCTCACCATCGCGTACAACTGGCACTTTGAAGTCCCGGCGGAGAACGCAGCCAAGATTTTCTCTGTGCGTGACTTTACGGGTGACGCATGCAAAACGCTTGCGTCACGCATCCGCGGTGCCGTCGCTGTCGAAACGTTCGACCATTTCCACAAGCACAGTGGTGCGGCCTCCATGTCATCTCCTTGCTCTTCTCATGGAAGTGATTAGCGAGCATCATTCGGACGGCGATCTTTGGACTTGACGAGTCGACTGGCGAAGCCAAGAAGCAGCTCATTTTTGCGACCAACAACCTTGTGATCACGAACGTCGACATTCAGTCGGCCGAGCCCGTCGACGCTCAGACGCGCGATAGTCTACAAAAGTCGGTGCAACTCGCGATCGAGATCACGACCAAGTCGCAAGAAGCCAAGGCCAAGGCCATCGCGATGAAGGAGGACGAGGAAGCGAAAGGCCTTCTCATCACGCAGCAACTCGAGAACCAGACCGAGGCGGAGAAGGCGCGGAAGCGGCTCGTGGAGCTATCAGCGCAGTGCGCCGCGGTCGAGGCTGAGGGTGCCGCTGTTGCCTCTGCTAAGGCCAAGGCACAAGCTGCCGAGATCGATGCACAGGCGGCTGTCACACAAGCCGAGTTGCGGGTCAAAGCACTGCAGATCGAACACGAGAGCCAAATGCGCCGGCTCCAGGCCGAACACACGCTGCAGATCGAGCACGCCAAGCAACTCGCTGAGCTCGAGATCCAAAAGAAGCGCGAGCTCCTCGCGATTGAGTCGGATAAGTTCAAGAGCATGATTGACGCTATCGGGCAGCAGACGATCGTGGAAATGGCGCGCGTCGGACCCGAGACCCAAGTTAAGTTGCTGGCCTCGCTCGGGCTGCAAGGCTATCTCATCACAGATGGCAAGTCCCCCGTCAACCTTGTCAACACGGCGCAGGATCTCGTGCGTAACATTTCGACCGGTGCGTAGTCGTCGATAAGTACATGTACATGACCCGGTACCCTCGACAGCATGTCGTTTTCTCAAATGCAAATGATTTTGTTTCGTTTCGAATTGATGTGGAAGGAAGTCTACGTCTGTCTGCCAGTTGATTATTCTATTCGGATACCACCTACATGTACAATGCATCTTACCGACACTTCGGAAGCAAATAGGGATATATGAAAAATGCATTCAAAAGACATACAACCTCGTAAGGTGTGACCCATCTACATACGACCCCACGTCGGCTTCATCTTGAGCTTCTTCTGGAGCCGCTCCCGCACCGAGGTTGGTTGTTTTTTGGTTGTGGGTTTGGCGGGGGCCTTGCTGGATTTCGTGCCACTTGGGATGTCGGGACGGACGTCGACGGGGGCCTTCGGTCGCTTGGCGGCCGGCGGGATGGCCCCGCGAGCCTTTTTCTTTGGCGGTACCGGTTCGTCATCATCTTCGTCCTCGTCGTTTTCTTCGTGGTCATCTTCGTCGTGGTCGTCGTCATGTACAAGGTCCTCGGCGGCGTCATCATCGTCAAGCGGGCGCACCGATTTCGGTAAGACGGGTGCTGTTTTCGGTGACTTGACGGCTTTCTGCGGACGTTTCTGTTCCATTATCAGCTGTGGGTGCAAGGACAAGACTAATATGTACCTTTTGGAGGCAAGGAAGGCATACATAGTCTTCAGGTGGCTCTTGGTCATTCGGGATCCCGGCGCACAATGTATGTTGCCACGTATTGCAGCGGTCGCAGGCCACCATGCGGCACCCGTCGTCGTAGTTTTTGGCACGAATGCCACAGCTGCAGTGCACTACCCAGTCGCCAGGCACTGTAGCGGCGCTGCATTTAAAGCAAGTGTAGCCCGGTGGTGGCTCCTGGTTGTCAGGGATGTTGGCGCAGTGCGTGTGCTGCCATGTCGGGCACGACTCGCACTGCACCATGCGCTTGCCATCGTCGTAGTTTTGGCCTTTCTGGCCACAATTGCACTCGAAGTACCAGTCCTCCTAATAGCCACGAGTCTAAATCGCCCCGATTCTGAGCAAAAGAGGCATACCGCGATGAGGGCTGTCTGCACCTTGGCCTTGGCTTTCTTGGACTTCTTACCGGGCGTTGTGATGCAATGGGCCTTCGGCACCATCGACGCCTTCAGCGGAAAGGCATCGGTAGGGATTTTGACGACGAGGTGATGCTGAAGCTTGGGCAGAGGCGCCGAGACACGATCACGACGAAACTTGGGGTACGCTGCTTCGACATCAGAGACAGTCGAGCCCTGATCGAGATTAGCTTCCGCCAACAGATCAATGGGAACGTACGAGGCTTGAGTCGCTGTCGTCGCTTGCACTGCTGCTGCTACTGCTCCCGTCGTCGTCGACTCCACTACTACTGCTTGTCACACTCGTGTCGAGTGTATTGGTGCGCACTCGGAGTTGCGCAAGCACCGCCGCAGCCGACGGTTGGTCCCGAGTAGGCAATACATCAGCCGCTGCGTCGGCGTGAATGTCATCGCCAAGTGCTGGGAGGAGGAACGATATCGCCTTCTCATCTGCCGAAGCAAAGCGAAGGTAGTCACAGGCAAGGTGCCACAAAAGCGGCGACAGCGACGGAAAACCCATTGATGGAAAAGCCACTCGGTCCAAGTGGTAGCAATGCCACTGCGTCGCGAGGTCCAAGTCGTGCATAAATGTCCCTTCATAGAGCAGCACGTCCTACGAGCGCTCTGAGTTGAAGGCGGTCAGAGTACTCGAATACCTCGACGGCAAACGTAGCATACAGCCACCCGGAAGGAATGAAGATCGTTGCACCAACGTCCAAAAGCGTAAACGCACTTGCCTCAACGAGATCATCAAACGGGCCGTGGAGGTTCTCGACGCGCGATCCTTGGTACGCGCGGAGGTTTTCAGGTGTTGGTGGGATCAAATGAACGTTCTAGCACAGAGATCAGGCTTCGCCATGGATGCTATTGAACGCACGAGCTTGCCAGTGAGGACCGTGATCCAGGTCGACGCGCCGCTGCTGCCGTTGCGAAAGCCCTCAAAGCTATCCTTGGCGCAGACCTTGACGTGACGGGGTGTTGCCGGTAGAGACGGAAACCGCTCGATCCACCCAATGTCGATGACGATCGTTGGTGGGGTCAACGCTGCTGAGACTGCTTCGAGGCGCAAAGTTGCCCAGCGTTGCGACGGGGGTGTCGCGATGTAGTCGTTCCATTGCGCAAGCGTCCATGCCGGGACCGTGGCACGGGCGACGGGCTACAAGTTTCGTATGAGAACTTGACGAGAAACCTCAGCGGCGTGTACGTCGATGACGAGAACGAATTCGCGGTCCACGAAAGCGCCAATACTGGTGATAGTGTACGGCCCGGGTGGTCCTAGACGACGTAGACTGGAACGACGTCTCTATGACGTCACCGTACCGGTGATGCCGATGCTCTTTCGCGAGAGCACGACTAGCGGCTGCGTGAATCCCGTCTCCTGAAACTAAAAGCATCATCATAGCATCTAGAGCCGCCACGAAGGCAAGAAGCGCGTACCCACTCCTTCGAGACGTTCTCGCCATCGACGATGTTGACCGCGAAGGCGCGCGCTTGGCGCCAGTGCTGGAGGTGCCGAAGCTCTTTGGCCGCTGCAGTTGCGGCTGGATCGACTACGCCCGACGAGGCTGAGCGCACTACGTGGTCGAGGCAACGAAGCATGAGGATCCGTGGTGCAGCAGCATGGTCATGGTCGTGGCAGTAGCATCTACCTTCCTCCACCATGGCAAGGTTGTGATGTCCTTTGAAACTCGATATTATGTATTATCAGTTTTTAAAGCTGGGAAAGATTCTCAGCGCAAAAGGTCGCGGACCGCGCCAAAGCGCTCGCGACGGTCCGTGGGCGACCGTTGCCAGATGACCTCGACGGCGGGTCGAAGCTTGACAACATCTAGAGGTAGCGGGCGATGGAAAGACTCTGCGTACGTCGCCCACATGGATGGATGCACCAGCGCAACGAAGGCCAGAACGACGCATTGCCGCCACTCGGCCATCTTGGCTTCCCATGCGGTGAGCGTCGTCGCTGCGCTATGGAGCGCCACGGAAAGCTCTTGCACTTGTTCATACGTGGCTTCAAATGCAGGTTCGCACGAGACTGCGACGTAAAACGCGTCGTCAAAGGGCGGCAGAGTTGCATTCCACGCCATCACCTTGGCGAGGAGCGGACCAGTCAGCTCTGCCGTATCTTCGCCTCCGGGTGTCGACGATGCAGACTGGAATACTTCGTGCTGTGGAGCAAAAGCTTGTCCGTACGCGATGCAATCTTCGGCAGCCAACGCATCAAACGGTCTCTTCCCAGACTACAGAGACAAACCTCGTCAGTCGACGTCGCCATGTACGCTGTACCGTGTTGACCAGCGTCGTGTTAGTCGCTGGTACGTCCGCGGCCATAAACTCGCGCAGCAGGGCAACAGTCACGCGACTGTTTTCGCACAGTACGTGCAGGGGCGAGTTGCCAATCTACATGCATCGGTTAGATTTGCATCCATACCATGGTTTTGTACGTTGTCTTGCGTATTTGGGTTGACGCCTGGTTGATGAAGCATTGCATGCAGCATTGCCGGGGAGACTTTCGCGTTTTGGCATAGGTAATGGAGCGCGGTTGCCTTGAACTAGTTGCAAGAAACAAGATCATAGATGTGAGGTGAGCTTCGAGCTGCGCGTACGTGGTTCTGGGTCATCATGCCGCTAGCAGGTGGCGTTGCTCGCAGCGCGAGTAAGAGCATGTCGTCTTGCAGCGCTTGGTTTGACGCCAGGTAGTGCAGCGCCGAGTTGCCGTCACCGTCCATCGCGTTCACAAAATTGCCACCCGGTGCCGAGAGCATCACCTGCAAGAGTGCTGCGCTGACGTTCTCGTTCATGCATAAAAAGTGCAAAGGTGTCGACTTCTTGTCGTCCTATGTCATTGATCGCCGTGAGCCACCTCGGCCCCAAGACTCGAGGACACCGTGGACGTGGCATTGACCGAAGCGCCAGCTCGAATCAGCTCGCCGAGTGCCATCGCATTGATTTCGTTGTTCTTGCAGAGCAAATGCAGGGGCGTGTGACCTGTCTCGTCGACGGCGTGGACGCTGGCTCCGGCTGCCAGGAGAGGCTGCAGGCTGGAGACCGAGCGGTTGTCGCAGGCATAGTGCAGCGGGGTCCATCCGTCCATTTCCATGAGCGCGATGGACTTGCCGACGAGGATCTTCCCGAGGGCTGCAGCGTCGTATTGCCCTTGTACGAGCCCCCACACGTCGTCGTTGCTCATGTCCCCGTGATGACGAAGATCGGTCAGTAGGACGTGGCATCCGTGCCATATTTAAGAAACCTCCGTTTCCAGATATGCAGCGCCATCTGGGTTAAATCCTTGAAAACAAAGGACTAGCTGCAGTATAAATGGATTCTTTTAAAAATGTAAGTCGAATAAATCGGAACGTTCTTTCATATTGAGCTATAGAACGCTTATATTAAGGAATCTTTGTTCTTCGACCTGTGAAAGATGATGCTCATCCACATATGCTGCATTGCCGTTTTGCCGCTGTCATGCGCGACGCCTACAAAGCTCTCTCGGACAAGGGGTTTACCGAGCCGGACGTCGATGACGTGGCGCTTCCCGGTGACTCCTACGTGGACTTTGCGTTCAAGGACAAGATTCCTGGAGGGCTCTTTCTCGGCAACGTCGCCGTCGTCGTCTACTTGGCCGTAAGATCGCATGCGATTCGCGATGGAGGCTGATCCTTATGCCACGTGCCAATAGGTCGTATGGGGCGCGCCGAACATTGGGACTTTCGACTTTACGCAGCACAAGTCCGGGGACGAGAAGCGCTCGCAAGGCATGAGCTTTCTAGTTGTGGCGGGGCTCATGGGGGCTGTCGGTGCTGTGCTCTCGGCCTTTTGGTTGCAGGCACTACAGCTGTACGCTGTTCGCATCATCTCTGTAACTCTTCAAGCAACGGTCGCTGCGCTTCTCGTGGGCGCCGCCGCCGGTTTTATGGAAGCCGGATTAGCCGGTCACGCGATTGGCCTTGGAAACCTCTTCCTTGCAGTCGCCCTCGGTTTGTACTACATCTCAGTGCGCCATCGCATCCCGTTTGCTGCAGCAAATCTTGCGGTTGCAAGCAAAATCATGCAGCGCTTTCCGCAGGTGCTTGTTGAAAACATGAACTGGTTCTTTATGGTCGAATTTAGGTTGCGCTGATAGCGTACGCCGCGATAGCAGCTCAAGTCGTGTGGACATCGTTGTGGACTGTGGCTCTTGTCGGAGTGTGGGTCATTACGCACAAGGATAGCGGGGCAATTGGATCGCTGCCGTCGTCGACAACGACCCACTTTTGTGTGTTTCTCATGCTCTTGAGGTAATACTCGCGCTCTTTGACGTGACACCTCGTAAAGCCCATCGTGAGTAGTCTCTTTTGGGGCCTTCAAGTCTTGCGCAACGTTGTGCACTGCACGGCCGCTGGTACCGTTGGTACGTCTACATCTCACCTTTCAATTTGTTTCAGCAATCGCGTAGGCGAGTGGTGGTTCTCACCGCACCCTGAAGGCGCGGCCCGTCGGGCTCTGCGGCGCTGCGTCACGACGTCGTTTGGGTCGATTTGTTTTGGGTCGCTCATCGTGGCGGCGCTCGCCGCCTTGCGCTTTGTGCTACTCACAGCAAAACGGCGCAAGTCCCGCGGGTCGATAAATGCGTGCCTTGACTGCTTTGTCGGCGCACTCGAGTCCAACCTCAAGATTTTCAACAAGTATGCATATGTGCAAGTGGCGCTTTACGGCAAATGCCTCTACGACGCGGGTCTCGACACGATGCTTTTGTTTCGCGAAAAGTATTCTCTGCATTTCGAGACCGAAAGTTGATCACACGTGACTTAGAGGCTGGACGGCTGTCGTCAACGAAAGCCTTGTTTCGAGTGTGCTCTCGACGGGCTGCGTTGTCGTGGGCCTAGCCACCGGTCTTATCGGTGTCGGCTTGGTGCATGCTACGACGGCATGCTCAGACGCCGAGGCTCACGCTCACGCTGGCCAGTGCGGTAGGCAACGACAATATTACGTTCTTATACTGAATTGTGCATTTGGCACATAGACACGTTCAGCGTCCTCCTCACAACATTTGCGCTTTGCAATGCGGTCGGGTATGCCATGTGCGCTGTCGTCTCTTCGATCCTTGACAGTATTGTTGCCACTGTCTTTGTGTGCATTGCGGAGGTGCGATTTTTCCATCCCGGTCTGCCCATAGTTCGTGATTGTGGTAGGACCCCATCGCACTGCACATCACCAACTCGGACGAGTACATGGGCATCGTGGATGCGTGGTACGCTGCGTTGTGCTGATTTTTTGACAATCAACTTTGTTCTGCTGTGCAGGCGCCAATTCCACCCCGAGCTCCTTACGCACTCGACATTCTCCGCTTCAGTTTCGTACGCCTAAGGGTCGTTACCCAAGAAATCGCGATTACTTTGCTTGGTCATGGTTGTGCCAAAGACTACTTGAGTTTGGGCATGCCGGATGCAACGGCTGCGAATGCGGCATCCTTGATCTCGGCCTTGGTCGAGTTGGATGCCTCGAGGGGCGCATGAACGATGAGCTTGCAAGCTCCGCGGCGATTCCACGTCCAAAGATCGTCGGGGATCACAATTGTGAGGGGGACAACGCGAGCCTTGGATGTTGTCGCTATCTCGAATGCGCCGTCCTTGAACGGCAGGAACGTCGTTCGGTTGCGCGTGCCCTACTAACGCTCATTTTTCTGCGGCATTCCGCTGTGTACAAGCACCTGGGGGAAAACGATCACGCTCCACTGACTCGCGAGACGCTCATGGCAGGCCGCGAACATCTGCTTGATACTCTCCTTGTTCTTGCGCTTGAGCGGCACGTAATTGGCGAGCTTCATCATCCAGCCAGGACCAGGCATCTACGACGGCACTGTCTCGCGACGACGATGCCACGAACCGTACCATAAAAATTACGCTCTTGGCCACCCACGCGAAGCGCATGGGCAGGAAGTAGAGCGTCGTCACATCCATCATGGTCTACGAACGTTGTCCGTCATCG